TAGTCTTAAGCGTAGTCCTTAAAGGAGACAGAGTCCTATAGCAGCATTACTAAGAGATAACTCAGGAAACCAATGCCAACCCTAACCATAGGATTTATTAAAAAGGATAGTCTTAAGCGTAGTCCTTAAAGGAGACAGAGTCTGGTTCATGGACAGAAATTACAAGTTGGTTTCTAAACAGAAGAGCAAAAAACTCAAATATCCGTCTCTAATTCTAGTTTTAGAAACTATAGGAACCACAAGTAAGCCTGCAGTTTGAGAGAGAAGTGCTCTCTTAATTTTGAAAATCAACCAGTAAATGTGGCCTGGAAAGGAAGAAGCAGGTAAAGATAATGGACGAATCTGGAAAAAAGCATCAGTTTTCCAGTTAACGGCACACTGGACCAATTTTCAGGAAAAAAAAAACATTTTATGACCATGCCTTTTCAGACAGATCTGTTGTTTTTACAAAAAGAAACCAGCTTGTTAAAAATTGTTCAAATTCACCTGAACTCACAGGTTCGTTTCACATCACGATGAAATTTAAATTAGAAAACGCATGAAATTTGAGTTTTGTGTTCCAGCTGGAGCGAAGCTTCAAGTTCATGAGGGAGACAGAAGACCAGCTGAGGATCATCCCTCAGTTCTGCTTCCCTGATGTGAAAAACTGGGAGCCTGTGGAAAGCTACCCAAGGTAAAGTTAAAGGGACAGTTCAGATCTTGTGAAGTGGGGTTTGAGAAATAGGACAGACACTTAATCTGACTTTTTGTAGAAAGCTCTTCAGTTTGGAAAAATTGAGTTTACCATGGGATTTTTCCTGCATGTATTTTTACAGTAAAGCTGAGCTCACCGCTGACCATAGAATACACTTTAATGTCCTTTCAAAATAAAATACAATAGAAGAATTGTTTGAGAGGCATTGTGGCATTTGGTGTTCTGTTGTAAAAGGCACCTTGAATGGAAAAGCACTGTTGGGAAATAATTTTTCATGTCATTCATTCTTCAAATGTGCCCACTTTAACTTCTAATACTTACAAATCCCTGCCATTCACTTTCAGTATGTTACATTTCTGCAAGAATAACCTTGTAACGCTAACCTGACAGCATCGTAAATGTTTTTATATTAGCGTTCAGAAAAAACACTATAAAATCTTTGAGACTGAAGTTGTTTCAAAGCAGCAGAAATCCTTTTTGATCTTGGCTAGCCATTAGCTCGTCAGTCTGGTCAGAATTCACCTTTTATTTTATTTTTTAAATTGAGCAACAGAAAAAGCATACAGTATTAAATGTTCATAACTTCTATACAGAACCCCACTTTAAAAGCTGCAAACTAACCATTTATCGCCACTAAACCTCAGGAGCTCATGGAAGCCGTTTACAAAAGTAATAAAATAAAACCCTCATTGCTTGTATATGTGTATTTATCATTTGTGTAACAAAAATAAATTAATACTTTCATGGCTCCTGTTTGGCAGCGAGATGTTCTCCTTCGTTTTGACCGGAGAGGACGGGAGCAGAAGGTTCGGATACTGCCGGCGTTTACTGGTAAAACGAAAACGAGCAGAACAAATAAGTGTGCTGTTACTGAACAGGAAGTGGCTGAATACCAACATGGCGGCTGAATAAATAAACATGCCCAAAAAGTCAACTGGCCTGTGGGAAAAGAGCTCATCTCAAAGTCTGGGCGGAAGTGTGCGAGGCTGGGAACTGTGAGCTGCATGTGAATGGGTTCATGCGTTTCTCTGGAGGATGTTTGTGTATATAAATGTTTTTACGTATAATGTTCATTATACCATATCTGGAGGAAAGAGATGCGCTAAAGTTATATAGAGGTAATAAAAGTGTTTGTCTTTTTAGCCCAGCGGAAAAGGCCGACGTCTGCCTGAGGTCTACTGTATCGTTAGTCACCTCGGCTGTTTCAACCTGTTCTCCAAGGTAACCCCTCGGCCACTGCTCCCCGGTCCTGGAGCCACAAGAACATTCAATAACCTGTTTTAAAACGTGTATTTGACAGGTCCTGGATGAGGTGGAGAGGCGACGAGCTCTGTCTCCTGCTCTGGTGCAGCCGTTTATGAGAGCGATCATGGAAGCCCAGTTTCCAGCTCCAGGCAGAACCATCAGCATCAAAACGTTCCTGCCTGGCTCGGGCACCGAGGTGGGCAACATCAGGCCAAGCGTCGGCACTAAACATCTGTAAAATCTGCTGAAATGTAGAACATGAAGCTAAAGACACGTTGCCAGGGGTTTCAAGAGGCTTGTGTTGCAAAAACATGCACAAGTTTTTTTTAACAACAACAACAAAAAAAACCCCAGTTGTCTTAAACCCGTCCCAGTTTAATTTCTGTAAATCTAGAGCACTGGAGTTGTGTTTATTTGTCAATAAATATGTCACCCATCACATCACACCGAGGATTCATTTGGATTTGGTTAAAAACTGAGCCTAGTTCACACTTCCAAAATGAAACACGTCACGTTTACAGAACATTAAGTCTTTAAAAAGTTATTCAGTTTTGTTGTACTGTGTCGTTCTGCTCTTTGTATTTAGAGACATTCTGGCCATTTTTCTGGGTCCGTCTCACTTTATATTGATTCTGACGCCATACACTGGACTATTGCAATGGTTTATTATCTGGGTGTCCAAATACTTCTTTAAAAAGTCTTCAGTTGATCCAAAACACTGCTGCCAGAGTCTTAATGGGCGTTAGTAGGAGAGATCATATCTCTGCAGTTTTGGCTCTCTGTCAAATCCAGAATTTAATTCAAAATCTTACTTCTAACCTACAAAGCTCTCAACAACCTAGCTCCATTTTATATTTGAGAACTTATTGTTCCGTATTTTCCTAACAGAGCGCTTCGCTCTCAGACTGCAGGCTTACTCGCGGTTCCTAGAGTTTCCAAAAGCAGAATGAGAGGAAGATCTTTCAGTTCTCAGGCTCCTCTCTTGTGGAACCAACTTCCAGTTTCTGTCCGTGAGGCTGACACGTTGTCCAGTTTTAAGACTTTCCTTTTTGATAAATCCTATAGTTAGCTTGTTATGCTGCTATAGACTTAAGACTACTAAATGACAAACTGACCTCATTTCTTAAAATTGTTACATTGAATAGTATTTCTGTCTTAACGTGTCTCGTTCCTCTCAAAGCCAAAGAGAAGAATATGTTTTGTAGCCAAACTACGAAGGTTCTCTGCACTTTGACATGTCGTTAATGTGGAGGTTGTTGGAACGTGTGGGCGAAGAAGAAAAACAAATAAAAAAAAACAACCAACGTGCTTGTTTTCATTCATGTTTCAGGTGATGCAGCTCTGCCGGCCCGCTGACTCTCGTCTGGAGCACGTGGACTTTGAATGTCTGTTCTCCTGTCTGAGTCTGCGGCTGCTCCTCAGGGTGTTCGGCTCGCTGCTGCTGGAGAGACGGGTCATCTTCACCGCCGACAAGCTCAGGTCGGCCCCTTCGCTTTGTCCTCACGTGTTTGTTCGGGGAGTTATGGGAATGTCAGACAATAGGTGAAAACACGTGTGGGTGGTCCAGATTCATACTTTAAAATAGCTCTGAGATTTCTGAGACATTTCTGGGACGGGCTGTTAAGTTGTTGCAGGATCGGGTTGTTTGTTGAGGGAGTCAGAAGAATAAGGCAGGAATGCAAACACCCAGTGACGTCAGTAATAGAAGCATGAAGTCCTGCTTCTCTCTGGGAAATGATGCTTTGGGGAATCAGCGTTGGGCTGCATTCAGATGAGAGCGCCCTCAGGTGGTGAGAATTAATAAATTCACTTTCTAAACCAAAGATTAACAGGACTTCTTAACTTCTTCTTAAAGAGTATATGTTAAATATTCATATAGTTCAACTGCTTTTTATTGCCGACCACTAAAATGCAGGCATTAATGCGCATGCCTGTCTGTTAGCAAAATATCTCATCAACCACTTGATAGATTCTAATTAAATTTTCAGGAAATAATCTTTAAATGTACGGCTAAAATTATTTAAAATTTGAAGCTAACCTAAATCGAGATGGCTTTCACAACTGATCGACCTTAGGAAGCACAAATATGGCTATGATTCAGTTAATTTTGCAGCCAATGAGCTGAAATTTGGCGTGGTAGCAGCCGAGAGTCATTCACATCACAAAAGGTGGTGGGTAGGCTGTTATTTTGAATGACTGGACGATAAAGTTAGAGAGGCCAGACTGAGATGGTTTGGACATGTCCAGACGAGGGACAGTGGGTATATTGGTAGAAGGATGTTAGAAATGCAGCTGCCAGGAAAAAGACAAAGAGGAGATAATATGGATGCAGTTAGAGAGGACATGGAGGAAGATGGAGTGAGGACAGAGGAAGCAGAGGACAGAGATGGAGGAGGATGAATTGTGATGACGCCTGAAGAGGGAACAGCTGAAAGAAGATGGCGGCCTCCTCCAACACCAATGACTCGTCTTTTTCTTCCCCCTCCTGCAGCACTCTCTCACAAAGCTGCCACGCAGCTGTGGCGTTGCTTTATCCCTTCGTATGGCAGCACACTTACATCCCCGTGCTGCCTTCGGCTATGCTCGACATCGTCTGCACCCCGACCCCGTTCATCGTCGGCCTGCTGTCCGCCTCCCTGCCCCAGCTGAACGAGCTGCCCCTGGAGGAGGTCAGAGCGAAGATACAGTCACCAGGAAACAGGAGGTCATGAACTGCATCATCAATTTGTTTATCTCTGCACAGGTTCTCGTTGTGGATTTAGAAAACAATCGATTTCTAAGACACGTAAGCTCAATTTTTTTTTTTTTTTTTAAGCACTTAAGGATTATTTATGAAAGTTGACCAGCATTAGCCTTTTTAGAAACACTTCTTCCTTTTCGGTTTTGATATTTTTAGTTGGATGACGAGGACTCGATCCTGCCCTTTAAGATTCAGTCAGCCCTGGAGAACGTTCTGGAGAAGAGGAGAGAGCTGGCTGGTGAGCGAGGAGCCGATACAAGTGGTGAGACGAAACAAGATAGGTTTTCTGTGAGAACGCAGTGTGAATGCTGAGCGCTGCTAAAACCAGCCGAAGAAGCTGAAACGGAGTCGTTACCGTTCCTGATGCCCCTGGGTCAAAATGACCCATGAGGCCTTGGTTTTAAGCAGGAGGGTTAACGCTGAATGTGGCAAAAGGCTAGCTACTAGTTAAATGTAGCAACACAGTACCGTATTTTTCGGACTATAAGGCGCAGTTAAAATCCTTTAATCGTCTCAAAAATCAACAGTGAGCCTTGTAATCCGGTGCGCCTTATGTATCGATTCTGGTTGTGCTTGCTGACCTAGAACCAAACAGAACAATGTTGAGAGTTATTGTGAATGAGTTGAATAAAGTTTGACTTATCTGACTGTTTTGTTTCGCTTAATGCGCCTTATAGTCCGAAAAATACGGTAACTAAAATCAAAAAAGTATCAAAAGTGTCAGGCTAGCCAAAAGATGAACGTAGCATAAGATGACAAAAACAGAGCAAGAATCCTGAAGTAGATTTCAAACAGGATGTTTTTGAAGCATAAAAGCTACAACAATCGAAAGTCATAGCGCCCACCTCCTGAATGAGCTGAATGTTTTTATGTACGAATGTCCAGAAAAAAACCCAGCTAATATATTATAAATCCTTGATAAGAAGAAAAAATGTACAGGTTTGTTTGAAATTCTTTAAGGCTCTCCTGTAAGTAAATGTTCATTCATTCAACTTTTGTTTAGACAGGTAAATCTCATTGAGCCTCGAGGACTCATTTACATTCTACAGTTCATTCAAGGTTCGACGGGTTGATGGACGTCAGCGAAAACCAATTTGTCCTGTTTCTCCAGACTCGGGTCAACTCAGCGCCGTTGTGTCCGAGTGCTTTGTTCGCTTCTTCGTGGAGTTGGTGGGACACTATCCGCTCTTCATTACCGGTGAACGAGAGGACGGCTACTCCTCCTCGTCCTCCTCCTCTCCCGCTTCCTGCTTCTTCCAGCGTGACGGTTTTCGGAAAGCCATCCCGTCCAAGACCGTCCGTCGCTTCTTGGAGGTCTTCATGGAGACCCAGATGTTCGGTTGCTTCATCCAGGAGAGGGAGCTCCCGAGGCAGGCTCCGAGAGGTACCGAAGCGGAAAGACCATTTCAGGTTTATGGGGTTTTGTTTTTAATCCCGTCCTTCGTCGTAGGACTCTTTGAGGTGAGGGTGCAGGAGTATCTGGACTCTATCCGTGAGAACGAACACCGGAGGGTCAACAGGTTTCTGTTAACCCTGGGTAAGGATGATGCTGAGCCGTTGAGCTGCTCAGAACTCGCAGTCGAACAAGCTTTGTCGGATCATTTCCCTCTAAAATCTTGTCCCGTTTTTCTTCATTTTCTCCAGGAAACAAAATGAAGTTCCTTTCCAAGAAGTAACCGAGACGCAATACGAAAAAGAAGCGCTTGATTGCCGTTTTTTTGACAAACCCATTGATGATCTGATGGTACTTTCTACCAACTCATCCTGCTTCTTTAGTCTCATCAGTAAAAGCAAGCTAAGTTAAGAAGATGTCATGAAGACCACAAATTGGGACTATAAACTTAAACATGATGGTTCCAAGTCAAAGGATTTTTAAGATTAGACACTTGAAGTAACTTAATTCCTGAACACAAAGTGGATGTCAATGGTAGTCTGAGTTTGGTTGACTTATAAATGTCTACACCGTCCAAAAATTAAAACAATATCTTGTCTCACGGTAAGCGTTTAAACGGGGAAGATGGCCTTAAAGTCCACAGTTGTAATGTTTTCTACATCCAGCAGGAGGCAGTGAATGTTTTCACTGACAGCATCATCCTGTTGACTGTAAAGCACAGAAAAAGAGACTACCTCACTTTATGACATAAAACACTCCAGTTTTACAGTAGTCAGCACAATGCCAAGGGTTTTTACTGGTTTTGATGTGGTGACTGTCTTCATGCTGTGGATTTATAACAAATTCCTTTGTCATAAAACCACAGCGTTATATTTCCCCCCCAGTTTTCCTGTACTCTGTTTTCTTTTTGTATTTGTGAACAGATATTCATAAAGCATATTTTATGACTGTGTGTAACGGCTCCTTTTTAGCAAACAACTCGTCCGTACACTGATTTTTTCTGTGGATGGATGTCCTCCTTGAGTCCACTTTGACTCAAACAGCGACCGATGGTGGGATCTGATGTACTTTGACCTTGGAGTTCACTTCTAATCTCTTTGGAAGTTTTTCTGGGCTGTTTGGTTACCATCTCCAAATTATCTGTATTCAGGTTATGGAGGCAACCAGCCCAGGAGAGAAACCCAGACATGCCTCTCCATAGCAACCCTTTCCAGCTTCTCCTGGAGGACCTTGAAGAGTCCCCAGGACAGAGAAGATACACAATCCTTCCAGTAAGTTCTGAGTTTTCCCTGGGACCTCTTCCCAGTGGGACATGCCTGGAAAACCTCTTAAACAGGGAATCCAGGAGGCATCATAAATCAGATGTCTGAACCACTTCAAATGACTCCTTTCGATGCGGAGGAGCAGCTCTACTCAGAACTCCCCCACCAGATGACAGAGTTCCTCATCCTATCTCTAAGGTTGAGCCTGGGCACTCTATGAAGGAAGCTCATTTCAGCCACTTGGCTCCAGGCAGGGCTTAATTTGAGCCGGATCCTGACGGAACTAAATCCGGGAACTCTTGTTTTGACATGGTGCGTTCCGGCAACTGTTTGCTTGGATCCAGAAACTCTCAGGCTTACTAATAATAAACTTATGAACAGATATGACTGCCCTGAACAAATAAAACTTAAAAGTAAACTGATTTGGGGAGCCATGCTTGAACAGTGTCGCTCCCCTCTGCTGCTGAGATGATAAATAACTCAGACGCCACATTTGGACACTGAAGTCAGCGGAGAAGAAACGGCTCTGTTGGACACGTCCAGGGAGGTCCGACTCCAGCCCTGTGGACTTTAAACTTCTGAATAATCTGTGCAGCTGTAGTCACAGGATCTTCAAGCTGCTTGGATATGGTCTTGAAGCCTTTCTCTTAACATTCTAGTGAATAATTGTCTTTCTGAGCACCTGAGAAAACTTTGTCCTCGGTTTTTTGTGGTCCATCATCAGTACCAAGTTACTTCAATGAACTTTGTGTGGTTTTGTTTAATGAAAGGGTACATACAAAATTATGAAAAAGAAATACTGGGGGGGGGATTAATAGGTAGACCTGTATATCGAATCAATGGAGATACATATCCAACAGAAAGGAGTGCGTATATTTGGAACATGAACGCAAGAATCAGTGGATGATCTATTTCAACAGGGATAGAGTGTCAAAAAAAGTTGGGAAACCGTTTTCGTTGTTCGGGAGTGACAAATGTGAACCTCATCCCTCAGTTTCCTACCTGGCTCCTGGGCTGCAGCGCCGTGGACCAGGACTCATCTCAGGAAGACGGATGGAAGTGGTGAGAGAAGAGCCCTGACCGCTGCTAAAAATATTTGTTCAAGTCGACCTGGTTCCAGGAGTCTGAACGTGTTTTTACTATCTGAACCTAAAAACCTCAAGTGTCACAAGTCGTTTTTGGATTAATAACTAGAAGAAGCGATTAGGAGTAATCCAACCAGCAGAGGTTGACCTGGTGTGGTGTATTTCCACAGCAAACCTTTATTTCCCTCCGTCAGAGCGAGCACTCTTATCTGCCACTTAGAAGACAACAATAGCTTGTTGAAACTCTAATCTTCACCATAAAGTGCCTTCAACGGGTGCATATCACCTGATATGGATTCCACCTTTAAGAGATGCTGTTCAACGATAATTGCACCTGAAAATATCTACCTGCAAGTGAGAACCTGCAGTGAGATTTAGCTGTGCATCGCATGCATGCAGGTATGCTTCATATCGTCAGCAGCAATAAAATCATACGAACATTACGGCCAATTAAAACCAGAAACCCAATTTGGTTATGAATGCTCTCAGATTTATCGACCTCATTTTCAAGGCTCGCAAACTTGCCTTTCAGACTCTCTTGAGGTTGCCTTTACTAATTGCATGATTTATGGTGTGATTTATGGAGGCTGGGAGGGGCAGCGACTAAGGAGAACTTGCCATCAATCAAAATTAAAGATGTAACGTCACCCTCTGCCATTTTGGAGTTTTTTGTACGTTCTCACCTGCAGCCCTCAAACAAAAGCAAGGACTTGTAAAATCAGTGGTTATAACTCCCAGGTGCTAGATGGAGTTTTATACAAACTAACCACTCACGGTGCCGTTATTACAACACAAACGTGGCATCTAGAAGTTCTCCTGCAGCCCTTCTCTCCTTGAGCCAAACGAAGCTTACACACCAGCAGTTCTGTGTGTGCAAAGTGTGGGAGAAAAAACAAAAATAATACATATCGCCCACATCTTTCATACCTGGAGGTAAACTTAGATCATCTTATGAAGAGTATGAACAGCGTTGTAGCTGTTTTGGCCTAACTTTGTAAATGAGTTGATGCTCGATGTGAGCTCATGAGATCTTACAGGAACATGCAGACACATGATCGCCCACCGTTCATGGAGGCACCAAAGTTTCATGGTGGTGGTTGAGCATGATATAGACTGGTTGAACACAAATGATTCAGACTATTTTTTTAAGTTGCAGCTGCAGCCCTGAACTATCCCCCTTCAGTGGATAAACCAAAGAATATGCAGGGCATGACAGCAAGACGGACTGACAAATCAGATGAAAAGTGGTAAATTGTAGATGAAGACAAAAGGACTTCAATAGGATGTGAGACTTCACCTTGGGACAATTTAGAGTTATCAATCAGCCTAACACGCATGTTTATGGTCTGTAGGAGGAAAACGGAGTACCAGAGAACACACAAACTCCACCCAGAAAGGCATTTGATGGCAACCTTCTTGATAGAGGCAACAGCTCAACCAACTGAGCCACTGTGCAGAACAGCAGCATAGAGACAACATTTTAGGAAGGAAGTGAACATACTTCAATGCATTAGAACTTCTATGTTAAATAAAGAAAATATATATAAATAATTTTTATACATATACAAGTGCTGGTCATAAAATTAGAATATCATGAAAAAGTTAATTTATTTCAGTAATTCCATTCAAAAAGTGAAACTTGTATACCGGTATTATTCATTCGTTACACATGGACTGGCTATGGCAGACGGCTGTGTTGACCTTGGACCTCCGAAAACACAGTGAACCAACACCAGCAGACGACATGGCACTCCAAACCATCACCGACTGTGGAAACTTGACACTGGACCTCAAGCAACATGGAGTCTGTGCATCTCCTTTCTTCCACCAGACTCTGGGACCTTGATTTCCAACGGAAATGCAAAATGTACTTTCATCAGAGAACATAACTTTGGACCACTCAGCAGCAGTCCCAAGCGAGACGCTTCTGACGCTGTCTCTTATTCAAGAGTGGCTTGACAAAAGGAATGCAACAGCTGAAACCCATGTCTTGCATATGTCTGTGCATGGTGGTTTTTGAAGCACTGACTCCAGCTGCAGTCCACTCTTTGTGAATCTCCCCCACATTCTGGAATGGGTTTTGTTTCACAATCCTCTCCAGGGTGCAGTTATCCCTGTTGCTTGTACACTTTTTTCTACCACAGCTTTCCCTTCCCTTCACCTCTCTATTAATGTGCTTGGACACAGAGCTCTGTGAACAGCCAGCCTCTTTAGCAATGACCTTTTGTGTCTTGCCCTCCTTGTGCAAGGTGTCAATGGTCATCTTTTGGACAACTGTCAAGTCAGCAGTTTTCATTGTGTAGCCTACAGAACTAGACTGAGAGACCATTTAAAGTCCTTTGCAAGAGTTTTGAGTTAATCAGCTGATTAGAGTGTGGCACCAGGTGTCTTCATTATTGAACCTTTTCACAGTATTCTAATTTTCTGAGATACTGAATTTGGGGTTTTCATTAGTTGTTGGTTATAATCATAAACATTAAAAAAAACAAACTTTTGAAATATATCAGTCTGTGTGTAATGATATACAAGTTTCACTTTTTGAATGGAATTACTGAAATAAATCAACTTTTTCATGATATTGTAATTTTATGACCAGCACCTGTATGTGTGTATGTATGAATGTAATTCTTTATTATTCTTGTTGGGATAAGAAAAAAAAAGATTTCAAACTAGTTGAAGTAAAAATGGGAGATGGAGACAAACGCATCAGTTTTGCATTCAACCTATTTTCGTGGCCTACGCTTATTTTTTTCTTTTGATCTCAGATTTTAAAATGAGAAAAAAAAGGGCGAGGCTACAAAGAAAAAAAAAAAAGGATAAAAAGTTTGCAACGAAGCGCAGGCCACACACGTAGACGTCCAGACCTAAGGGTGAGTCAGTCAGCCTTGTCTGCATGTGGTCTTCTTAATGTGTCCACGTTTGTCCTCACCATGTTT